TCACACCGCGGGAGGGGGGGGGGGTTATCCGACTTTGCAAATGCCGCCTGCAGCATGTGTTAGTGTATTTGGGGCTTAGCCAATTGGGTTGCAATTTACTTAACCCATCAATAACTGGATCTCCACTGACACGTACGAATGGGTTATGACATAGTTGCTAACAACTTACAGTTGCGTGGCAGTGATGGCCCGGTGGCACACTTCTCCCATGGCTTTGTCATCCCAATGGCAATTTTCGCTATTTGCGTCCATCCCCACTGGTGCAGAATGGATTCTGTCAAACCACAGCAGGCGGCTACCAGCATTACTGCCTTGGCCGAACACCCGAGTGACTGGCTCGCTTGCTCTCATCTCGTCAGCCAGGCAGCAAGTGGAGCAGCGGAGGAAGGAGCACGAGCAGCGGAACGAGGTGTTCTGGGGGCTTGCGCGAGGTTCGGGCAGAATGGGCATCCGTTTTTTTGAGGGTACCGGGTACCCCGTTCTTTGGGGTGGTTTCTGACTCACATGGGCTTGTGCGACCTGGCCTGGGGTCCCTCACTGTCAGTTTCATTGCAGCCCCAGTGAGTCGACCCAGGATACCGAAAAGCAAGTCTGCTGGCCCACGAGGTCGATGGATTTTGCAGTGTCCATTGGCTTTGGATGTTTGACCAAATTAGACAATTTGTTAGTGACCTAGATTCCAATGTGTATACATATATATATATATATGCATAGCTACCCCACTTGCAAGTCCCTAACTGAAGTTAACCCGGTTAGCCAGTTCTAACTCAGGTGGCTGGCCACTTAGCCATCTTGGCAGAACATCCAAGTAGCGGCTGCCCGTTGTGAATAAGTATATTCCGGGATCAGCATGTTGGTGGTTTGTGACTTGGAGGTTTGAGGTCCTGTCTGGAGGCCTCTCGTGTCAGCCTGTGATGAAGGTTGGCAATGCCCTAAAATGTTGGACCACCCGAACCGCCTGGTTTTCTATCGGTTGCGTTTTCCACATCATCCACAAAAAGTTGCCGGATTTTGGACACATACTTAATATTTTTGTTTGTGCGCCTGTCTTTTCTTGTTTCCGGATCATGCTGACAGAGGCATTCGATCAAAGTGGGGCGCTGTGAGCTTGAGAAAGGTCGCGAGTGGTAAAGTCATTGAAAGGCGGTGCTTCCGTGCTTGGCGAGTGCTTCTTCCGAGAGGGCTTTGCTGTGCTACTTAGGGGGGCACGGCGACTTTCTGCCTTGAGTGTCTAGGGACCCGGAAAGTTGCTCTCTGAATAAGCCGCTGAACGGCGCAGGCACGAAGATTGCCGGCAGAAGAGCGAAAGCAAAAGAAGAAGCAGAAGTGGCCACTCGGCTGTCTGAATCCTCATCTCAGACCTCCAGTAGTACTCTTGGTACTCCGGTTTTTGTGGGTTTCCCTTTAACAGCAAACAAAAGCAGGCAAGCAAGCGAGCAAGCAAGCAAGCAAGCAAGCACGCAAGCAAGCAAGCAAGCAAGCAAGCAAGCACGCAAGCACGCAAGCACGCAAGCACGCAAGCACGCAAGCACGCAAGCACGCAAGCACGCACGCAAGCAAGCAAGCAAGCAAGCAAGCAAGCAAGCAAGCAAGCAAGCAAGCAAAAGGGTGTCCTGTTTGCCCATGGGCGCTTGAGGTCTGGTCCATGCACCTGGTTTCGGTGCACATTTGTTTCCCCGTTCCATGTCCCATGTCCCTGTGCTTGATCGCTCAGCTTTGAAGCAGGTGTCAAGATACGGGCAGTGCCTCGACATGGCTTGAAGGGGAAGTCACATAAAAGTAGGCCCTGCCCAGTCAAGACGGCAATGGCAAGCTGTAAATAGCAGATCCCTACATTAGCCTCCACCACACTAAGATCATAGACCAACAACATGCTGTCAATGACATCGACGAAGGACAAAGCCACCTGTTTGCCCTTGGTTTGTAGAACTCAGGATGGCAGAGGGGGAGCCGGTGGTGCAGGTGGGAACCGTGGCGCCGAGTCTTGGCCCATTTGTTTGACCGTTTGTTTGCCTGACCTTTTAATGCTTTTCTTTGGACTGAGCTGCGGGCTTTACAAAACAAGTCAGCAAACGCTATATTGCAACCAGTACGAGACCTATTTTTTTGATGAGATAGTGTTTGCTTGTGTGGGCCAGCCCCACGAAGTTGGCGATTCCTTGGCGCACGTTTTTTCATTGCGCCCTGGGGGGCAATCAATACAACGAGGCAGCCTTGAAGAAAGTAGCCTACCACTTTCAGTATGTCTCGCACGTTGGAACTGTTTGAAACGCAGGTTGGCTGTAATGTGGTGCGTTTTGCATTGGGCCAGCACTGTTACAGTGGTAGCAATCTGCCCGTGACCAAACATGGCGGCAACTTGCTTTGCGAGAACACCAGGCGCGTGTTTCACCGCCTGATGCCTCCTCACGCTAACGAATCTGCTTGCAATTTGCGGACTTGCTTCAAGAGAAGCGTGTTGCGAGGGCCTCCAGTCAACTTGCATGTACTTTTCTTTCTGATCATGCTCAGGAGACCCGACACGGCAATCGTGTGTTTTTCGCATCTTACTTGTCCATGTGTGATGTGTTAGAACACATTTGGTGTCACCCAACCTGTTGGAACAAGCAAAAGGGAACTTCTGATAGGGACCTTCGGCAAGGGCACAGTCAGATTACCCGCAATCCGTTTCATCCGGGCTGTTAGGTTGTGATATTTCGACAGGTCCTGGTCTTTAAGATCAAGGACTTGGCGAACAAGAAGCGCGGAGCCTCCAGATTGGACATTGGACCGCAGAGTTGCCTTGGGTGTTCGTTGCCAAAGTGGTTTGCCACCTGGGTTATGGTTCAGTGATAACCGGGTTGACTCAACTTAGGAATTAGTGGGACATAGCCTGGCAGCCTGGGTTGCTACCAAGCTACTGACTTGTCCGAACGCGTGAGCAGGAATCCAGGGAACCTCTTGAAAGAGAGCCGCGCATCAAGCTACCTTAACACCCACGTCATGGAACCCAGCAGAGGGTCTCTTGTAGAAGATTATGGTGCTTGAAATGCCTCTGATTGCTGGTTTGGTGTTTGGAACCTCGGATTCTTGGGGGCATGGAAGGTAGCCGCAAACCACTGTGAGCTAACGAGGAGCGGCAGGGCCCTTTCGGATTTGACCCACCAAAGGCAGGGGTGTTCCTATCTCTCAACCCTGATTTGATGTGTTTCCCTTCGTTTGGACCTTAGGAGACTCACATTTCACTGAAGCGAATGCGCTGGGTTGATGCTATGGGTACATGGGGGGCACTCACCAAATTTCCACTAGACAATGAGAGTTACTCACCGAATTCCTTGCAACAGATCGAATCCGTTCCTGAGTGGTCACGATGCTTGCTGACAAGTGTTCTCCAGGCCTGTTTGAAAGACACAATCCCAAGCTGTCAAACGGCCATTCTACAGAATGCTGCCGCTACTCGCATCTTGACTGCAAGCCTATTAGTGAAACAGACAACAACACATCCTCCAAAAGCACGCAACAGCCAGAAAAGAGCGCATTTCCAATACAACTACTTTTCCTTGATTGGGGTGACATGTTAAGGGGAACGGTTTAGTTCATTTCATACTCGCGGTGTCCCTTTGTGCGACTGGGACGCCACGGCTTTTGAAGCCTGCGCTTGGGTGAGAGGGGTGAACTGGTGTGAGGTTTCCGGTCAAAATTGCCTGGTTCATTTGGGAGGGACATGGGACTTACTAAATTTCCATCAAAAACCGTGGTGTATGGGCAAAATCCTCTTCGTGACAGTCGGTAAGCGGCTGATCAACCGGTACCAAGGATTTCATCCATCCCAACTGGTGCGAGAGCATCTGGCCCCGAATTTGGCCCACCTGCGTCTGGCACCAGACCTCCCAACCGTACACCCCTTGATCGGGTAAACCCTAGATCAGGAGCAAACAAGGGTCAAACCCGAGCACATAGGGTTGCTAACGGCGAGCTCACCTGGGGAGAAATGAGCTTGCTATGATGTAATTCCTTTACCTGGGGATCCCTTATTTCAGGTTCGCACATACTATAAAACTTGCTGATGTGTGTCGTTTGCATGCTTCCTGCTTCTATTTATTGCCCCGGCTCTGTTGGGGCTTTGCTTTGTTAGCTTTGTTAGCTGTTCTTTTGTAAGACTTGCAACTGGGTTCGCTTAGGGGAAATCTTTGGATCGTTTCGATCAAGGCACCTCTTCAAGATCGACATGAATGCCCAGCGCCGGCCTAAATTTGGGTCGACCAACAAGCTGATCCATGATCTCAGCATGTGTGTGTGTGTGTGTGTGTGGTGTTTGTGTTTGTGTTTGTGTGTGTGTGTGTCTTTTTTAAAGGTATCAATCTCAGGCTGCTTTAAGGGACACCGGAAGGAAGGCCGACCTTTTTCGGGGTTCCCCTATTTTGACATACGCCCGCTTTTGGTGGGTCTGAATGCGAGATCCCCGAAATGTGTGGTTTCTTTTTGATTGACACCCAGGGGCTTCCCCCAAAATAACAACACACACACACACACACCTGTTGTCAGCCGTCGCGCGCGATTTCGTAGGAGCGAGGGTGGCCTAAGTCGGGTCCAAGTAGCAATTGGATTTTTTGGGAAGTGAGGGATCCACAAGACTGGGCCAACGCTTGGTGCGATTTGAAATCTTTGCCCTGGACTGAAGTGAAGAGCAAAGAATATTTTCAAATCCTAGGTTTAGGATTGAACCACATGATGCTTTTTTGAACCTTTCTTCAGCAAACTCTGATCAGCCCACGGGTGATTATTTGCCGATCACAGAGGTTTGTCGATCTCTTCTGTAAAATTACAGGGGCGGTCGGGCGGGGAATATAGACGAACTTGCTTTCTCGAAGTAGCTACCAACTTGCGATCTGCCCCGTTTGCAAGCATAGATCTTCAAAAGCAATCACAGGTTTTTGTGGTCGCTCTACAGGGGCTGGTCCAAGCTTTTGCTGAACACATCTACAATATGTATACATATATATATGTATATCAGATGGCGGTGTCCACCTTGATAGCAATGACATGAAGCAAGGAAAGCGGCCGAATGCCAAGATCTGGTAGATACGTGCCTGGGTTGCAGGATCTCACTCAGAAAAGGAATTTATTTGCACGAATCCCTAGCAAGCTTCTTCACACAAGATGCAAACATTCTGTTCCCATGTCAGCCATTTGTTGGATCCCACAAAAATATATCCAATATTTCGATGTCTCAAGCCGATTCACGAGAGCTCCCCTATGTTTGGTTGTTATCTTGTTCAGCCCAAAGCAAGCGCCGCCCATTTCGTGGCGCCGTAGGCAGTTCCACCTCACCGGGTGCTGCGTCGCCTGCCCCGGCGCCGCTTCCTCCGCAATGGTGGCCCCACGAAGGGAGGTGACCCTGCACTGTTCCCGGTGGCTGCGGGAAAAGTACAGGGGATGAAACCCAAAGAGGGGGCATTGTGCCATCTGCTGTTAACTCTGAATGAGCCAGTGATGGTAAGTGTTCAGAACTGGACCGGCGATTCCCATGAAGATCCTCTGGCGGGTTGCCCTTTCCGGTTTGGAGAAGGCAATCGGCCCAGATCAGATACGCGAGTAACCATTTTTGAGGACCCCTACTTAGAAACACCTATATGGAATGACCCAAGAAACCGGGGAGGGAGGGAGGGATGAGGGGGAGGGGGGGCTGTGAGCCAAGCTGATGACCAGAGGGCAAATTCCTTGGGTCATGCGTTTTTCTCCCCTTACCAATTTGGAGAGTATTGCCCCCTTCGACCCCGACATTCGGCTCTTTCCTGAAAGGTACGGCAACACGCCGAAATCAGTGACTTTTCTGGACCTCCCCCTAACAAGTTTTGGCCTGAAGTCGCAAACCCAAGGTGCATTTCGCTTTATCAGGGGTGCAATTTCTGTTGAAACATCCAGACGCTGCTTCCCCTTTAAAGGGGAACCCAACTGAGGTTGTTCAAACACTCGTTGATTGAACACAATTACAGAGGTGGTTGAGTTGCGCAACCCTGGCTGAGTTTGTTGGCCCAAAGTTGGAATCCCCAGCACATCCAAAGTTTTGCTGTTGGCTTCCCTTTAAACCAGGGTGAAAAGGGAGAAGCACACCCATGTAAAAACCACTTCACCTCCCACCGGCAAGCCTTAGCCTTCAGCTCCGGGCGCGATCGCGCGCCCAGGTGGCCAATATCGTAGTGGTGGAAGGCGGCCCCCGGGCCATCAAGAGGTATAAGAAGCTGATGACGAGGCTGGATATCCGTCGGAGTTGGTCTGGGCCCGCAAAAACCTCGATCGAGGAACACAATTGACACATTGGAAGCGGGCAGAACAGCCGAATGGTCTTACTTGCCAATATTTTAGTTATTTTTGCTCAATGGTATGTGCTTTCTTCTTTTTGAACAAACGAAGCAATGTTTGGACGCAAAGTCCTCTGGATGCCTTCCCATGGCCATGGCACGCATGTGAGATGAAGGGCTCGCTGCCCAACGGCTACCCCGTTGCTGTAGTTCTGAAGTGTGACATACGCAACAAGATCCCTCCGGGGATGCGCCAGAGCTATTCTTTTTCCAAGGGCTAGCATGACACCACATTTCCGGAGAGTCCAACTGGTTCTGAGTGGCACTTTCCCCATTCAGGCAAGGGGGGATGTTGCGGGGTTTGGGGAGGCAGCTTTTTCCCGAGGATTGATCGATTGGCTGAGGCAATTGACGTCATTGGCCTACTTGGCCTTGTGTTGTACGAACAATAAGATGAAACTTGCCCTTGAGAGAGGCCCGCCCCTGTTCTTGAGCACATGTTCAAGTGATTGGCAGAACCTCCAAGCAGAACGTCAGCGAGTTTTTGGTTGATGACGGGGGAGCTGTCATTGCCGTACTATGTCATAATTTTGTTTTGGGTGTGCAGGTATAGGAACGACCAAACTCTGACTTTCTGCTTGGTCGTTCCTATACATGCACACCTTGGTAGTCGGTGTTGACTGCTGATGCATGCTTAGCTTATGACAAATCGAACACTGCCAGCAACGTTTAATGTTCGCCAACATTTTTTGCTGTTGCAGGGTGACCTGGGCTACACACACCATAGGTCAAGATGGTGTTCTCACCAGATATCGATCTCATTGAGGTGTAATGATCTCTATTTGTCTGTGTGCGTTATGTATGTGTGTATGTATGTATGTAATGTATGTATGTATGTAATGTAATGTAATGTATGTATGTATGTATGTATGTAATGTACTGTAATGTAATGTAACGTAACGTAACGTAACGTAACGTAATGTAATGTAATGTAATGTAATGTAATGTAATGTATGTATGTAATGTATGTATGTATGTAATGTATGTATGTATGTATGTATGTATGTATGTATGTATGTATGTATGTATGTATGTATGTATGTATGTATGTATGTAATGTATGTATGTATGTATGTATGTATGTATGTATGTATGTATGTATGTATGTATGTATGTATGTATGTATGTATGTATGTATGTATGTATGTATGTATGTATGTATGTATGTATGTATGTATGTATGTATGTATGTATGTAAGTAATGTATGTATGCTATGTTATGTTATGTTATGTTGTGTTGTGTTGTGTTGTGTTATGTTATGTTATGTTATGTATGTATGGATGCATGTATGTATGTATGTATGTTTGTTTGTTTGTTTGTTTGTTTGTGCGTGCTCGTATGTTTATTTCCACATAAGGCTTCGTTTGCCTATTTGTTCGGGTTGTGAGCAACACACACTCTGCCAACAGTCATAATCAGTCTCAGCTTGTTTCATTAGGGGAATCTATGGTGCAAGCATATCTGCCAGCCGTCATGCATCACCTGCAGCTTAAGTTTTTGCTGGTGCCAAAGTTGTGGACAGGGAAAATTGCATCGTTTTGTGGCCCTCATCCACTGCTGCAATAGCAGGGAATGTGGGAATGCGCCGTTCCAACCCGAAGAGAATCCTTGTTTTCCTCGCGAATGGTTGTCGGGGAGCCATATTCTGCACACGCTTAATCCAAGCTGGATGCTTCGCTAGGCGCATCAAGTGGACTGAAGAGCAGGCAGATGAGGCCCCTTGTCTGACAGGATTTTGGTTCTCTCTGAAGGCCAATCACTGTGAGCAACTCCTTGCCACCCCCATCATCCCAACCCCGCTCCGTGCTTTCCCCAAAGGAGCAGGCACTTACTCATGCCTCATTAGGGTCGTATTTGCGGACATTTCGATGGAAAGTGGCGGGGAAGAATGATCTTTGGGCCGAGAGGTGACATTTTCAGCAAGCTGATGAGATTGTTTTCATTTTCTCCCTTATTTTTGTTTCAGCATGTCCGGTTGCACCCGTTTGGTGGTTGTTGGAAAGGAAGCCCCCCCCCCAATTTTGAAGGTCCCGTATTTGGGACAACCGCGATTGGATAGGCATGCTGCACTCAATTCGCCAACACCACTCAGGAACTAGAGAGAGATTGAGGTTGTCCCCTTCGCAATCCGTGGTGTTTTTCCGGAGAACGGAACCTCTTCTGTATAAAGATCAACCCAGGTGGGTCCCAGTGTCCCCCTCCCGGAATCTTTGGGCTACCCCGATTCACGGAGAATTAAATTCATGACTGCGGTCATTCGCGGATCGGGGTGTCCCTCCAAAGGTGAACCGCTTTCTCTCAAGGGGACACCCCCGGATCAAAACTATTGATCCCTGGGTTCTGATTCATGTGGCTTGGACCGGGGCCGCCAGTTTGGCCAGGAAGCACTCTGTCGAATGTTAAGACGGCCAAGACGAGACATGGTTTCAGTTATACCAAGAAAGCCCCCGTTCAAGTGAAGAGTAGTCAAGAGAATGGTATCATCACAGCCGTCAGGTGACATGTTGACACCCGCTTTTTGGTTGAAATTCAGGGGAACACCTGCAATCGTGAGCCCTCCCTCTATCATTTCTCCAAATCGGGGGTTACAAGACAAGCCTCCGTTTGAGTAGCCACTGAGCCAACTGAGGTGTTACACACTCGAGATCTACTGTATCCTGAAACCCCAATCCACGTCCAAGTATAGAGGACTCTCATATGGGGCCAGTAAAGGTAAGCCAAGTAACAGTCAAAGAATAGTAACCACGATTTCAGGGACCTTTCCCCAAAACAGAGATGTCCTCACAAGAAACGGATGTTCATCTTTTTGGGGCTGGGGAGGGGGGTCCATGTCTGCAGGCCTGTGGTCACCGGGTTCTCATTCCTTGTGCCTTATGCCAGAGGGTAGCCTGGGGCTTACGGAGTAGCATAAGGAATTCTCCCATGATGAGCAATCCAGTTGACTTAGTCTTGCTGAGATAATGCTGAGTGGTTGATCCCCCCCCTTGATCAGAGTATCACTGCTGAGGTCACGGAAGTGCAGCGGGGACCATATTGAAGATGATGGTAGTCTTGCAGAACCTTTCCATTGTTGGAACATGTTGGAAAGAGGTATTTGAACAAAACCTTCAGGACGACGAGGATGAGGACCAGGACGAGGCAGCACCCAGGATCCAGGACCACTGCGCCCGGGCACTTGGCACGTGAGCGAGGCTTAGTCCACCATGCGTTTGCGTCATCGGCATTTGGACCCCACGAGATAGTGACGTTCCTTGTGGTTTCCCTTGACCCAACCTGAAAACAGCGCCCTCGAAAAAACCCACTCGCATTGGCAGCCCTTGGCCTTGGGAGGGTTCACTTGCGGCTCCTTGCCCTGAGGTGAGGATCAGGGAGGGAGGGAGGGAGGGAGGGAGGTCTGCCAGCATCATTTGGATGCCAAGTATTGGACAGATTGACTTTTAAACAGGTGCCCGTGTTTAGAGGGTGGGATCCTTCACTAGATTACATCAGTGAGATTGAGCTCAACCATGAGCATTTCTCCAAATCAGGGACCCCCTTTACGGTGTCTTATTGCATGTCCTGTTAGTTTCTGTCAACAGATCAGCCCAAACCACTGGAGTTTCACTTGAGTCCAGACTTCCGGATTCTAGTAAGAGGGTCTTTACTGACAACCGCTACACAAACACTTTTATATGTGTATGGTTTGGGGCAGCGGACACCCTTTGAGAATTCTGCGACGTCCGAGGTGCTGATTTGGGAGGGCGTGGTGAAGCAGCGGAGCTTCAAGAATTGGAAGGCCAGGGTGGAAAGCTGGTGAGCGGTTTTTGAGGTAGAAGCTGCTTTTCTTGAGTTTAGTACTGCCGGACAGACAAGAACCTGCGCGCAGGTGGTTTGTCTCAGTATTTGTAGCGCTTCATCCATTCCAGCTGGTGCAGGATTGTGTCCTTAGCATTTCCCCCAACAGCAACAGCTGTGGGCTATGGATTTTGTTCGCCAATCCGAGGTTTGGGGCAGATTCCGAAAAGTCATCACACTTAATCCCCAAACAATCCCAGCCTAAACCAACCTGAACCAGTCCAAACCAGGCCCTAGAAGAAAAGCACAAACACACACACACACACACACACCTTACCATTCTCACCATCACCAAGCTTCACCAGGTCTTGCGCACAATAATTCGATTTAAAATCGGTGTTCATCGTTTTATGCAGTGAGAAGGCCATCTTCTATGAGGTGCCAAGCTGTGAAAGGGTTAGGCCCCTGCCAGGGTTAGACAAACGCACGTGTTGGAAAGCCCCACAGGTTGCTCGGCGGATTGGCGGCTGCTGAGGGATCCTTGTGGATCTAAATGTCTGCCCTGAGAATTCGGATGCGCAGACGTATGGGTTTATTTCCCTCCATGATGGGAAAGCGACTTGATCCAATCTAATGGAAAACCAAGGGTAGTCGAGCGGACAACACCAAACAGTTTTCGTGTTCGAACCGCGTGCCGCGAGGGTTTTTTATGGAATGGGGCGAAAGAACTGCATACGCAGAGTTTAGGCAGGAGTCAAGGGAAATCAAGTGAACACAATAACAAAATCATAGGTCCCCAAACAGAACTCGGCCGAAAGTCCGTTGAACCTTCAGCTTCCTTCTGATCAATCACGTAGCAAGGGGTCGCAGATTTGATGCGCCATTGGGCCCATGGGTCGTTTCCATTTGTCAAAGTTGGAGCTGGGTGGTTTCCTATCAACCTACTTGTGGGTTCAGTTTTTTGAGACCCCTTTGTGACACCTTTGAACAGGGAATCTCAAGGATGGCTTCTTCGACAAACCGCACGATCCAGAATCCCAGCTTCCCTCGGAAAACCGGGCGGGCAATGGATCCTAATAGCAAGCCCTGGTTGAATTGCAGGGGTAATGCTTGCCTTGGATGAATCCGATCATACTGGTCCATGGAGTCCCAGCACAGCGAATTGGCTGAGAAGTTGACATTGTCCCTGATTAGTGGCTTGGAGCTCCCATTTGGCTTCAAAGGGAACTGGGGGAACAAATTCGAAACGCCACCAAGCCAACCAATTGAGCCACAATCGAAATCCGGGTAAGTGAAGGTATGAGACAGTCCCAGCCATAGGTGCGGATATCCTCACTTTTGATGGTTCACCATGGGTTTTGGGGTGCCCCTTTCACGAACGCGCTTTAGTGGAGGCCCCGAGTTGGCTCGGTTTTCCTTTTGCCCTTTAAACCAAGGTGACAAGGGTGCCGAGCCTCGAAAACACAATCCCCTTTTGCTTGCGAGGGCAGGGTTCCCTAAGGGCAACTCACCTTAAAAAGTGATGTCTAAGCCCCGAAGGAACAGACAGTGACCCCGGCAGAGCAGACCCTTGAGATTTGCATCGGGGCAAGGTGCCTTGTGCTTCGCGCAGGTGACGCACGTGCGGAACGAGCCAGAAGCCAGAAAGCTTCTGAACGCCGGGGCCTGAAACTGGGGCTCTGTCCGAGACGCCGCGCAGGGCCATGCGTGTTGGTGTTTTTGTTACTATTGTTTCTCTTCAAGGACATCTCGGGCGGCAAAACACGGTGTTTTTTGTTGCACAGACCCAGGCAACATGACCTGCTAACTGCGAGGATATGTTTGCAAGCGCCATTCGGGAAAGTGACATCGCGACCTCACTTGCAAATGTGTTTCTCGCTTTGTCTCCTGCAGATTGCCTCGGAACCCCACAAAGCATCATTCTTGGAGGAAGTTCCTTTGATCGAGCGCAGCTTTCAAGGCCCATGACAAGAAAGGGTATGGAAGCCAGGAGCCCCTTTTGACAGCCGGAAGTGCCTTCCAACGAGCAGTCGACCTCTGGAACAACCTGACAGGTGCCACAGTAAGAGGACCGCTTACTGGTTGGTAGAGATGGTCATGGACCACTTAGAAAAATAATTTAGAGTGCCATTGCAAGGGTTCCAAAAAAGGATGACCGGCGAGCACAGAGGGAGCTTCGACCAGGGCACAAATGGGTTTTGGGCACTGCTCATGCCTTCCGCACTTAGGACCGTCAGGCTGAGCACTACTGGGACGTCTTGCTGACATGCTTGCCAATGCGACATGTGATGTGCCTGACACACTTTCAGACGATTCTTCCGCGCTTGCGCGGGCAGGACAAGGGACGTAATGTGCTCAAGTTTCAATCATTATCCTCCCATGATCAAGACGTACTTTGGTTTAACAGCCCAACAAGCAATTGCTCATTTTTGAGGCCCTTATTGTACAAAGCGCAGCGTGTGTCTGGTCGCCATATCGCGGTACGCCACCGGCCACTCCCCTGCATTCAAGTCGAGCGTTGGGGTTCTGAGTTCTGCTGCTCAGCATTTTTATGACTTGCCAAGAAAGCAAGGGAACCCGGCTCTAGCACTAATTAGCATGGGAATCACAAGAGCACGGGCTGTTCAAGCCTTTGCGTTTTGTTCCGAGAATCAATTAGGCTGTTTTTGCGCGGCCGTGCCTGTGAACCGTTCTGATTCTGGACTGTGGGGGAACACAGCCCTCAGCATCTCGGTAGCAGCATCTTGAAATATTGAGCTTGCCGAACGCGCCCGGGCAGTTCTTGCTTGGGGACTTTTTGTCAATCTTCAGAGTAAAGAGGGCTTCACAGTGATCAGGAAGGTTGATCAACTGGATCTTGGAGCATTGGTCATGGAAGAGTTCATCTGAATTGGCGTGGTAGTCACCACTTTCAGATGATGTGCCTGTCTTTGAAGCCTTGACCTGCTAGCGTTGCCCTGGGTTTGCGGCCTCACTCCATGAAGGCTTTCCCCGTTTTCATATTCGCCAAGATGGCCTTGAGCAGATCACCGTTCCCCTGCAGCATATGTGGATCTCACTTGTTGAGCATGCATGCTCTTCTAACGCTCCGCCAGATGCTGGCCCGATACCGTGACCCGCGCATGGATATCTGAGGTGGAGCGACATGCACCGCCTTGCGAGAGCGAAAGAGTGCGACAGGAAACGCCAAGTCAAGAGGGCTTCCTGCCAAGCAAACAGACACGGGGGCGACGCCAAGCATTGGTAGGAGCCTGCCCTCACACAGAAAACCGGCAGAGCCCTCTCGGAAATGCATAGCAAGAGTGGGAGCGGAAGAGCTGCTGAAGTTGGAAATGGAGCAGTTCTGAAAATAGAAGCGGCGCCATTCCGCTGGACTGGGGTTGCTCGAGGGAAGCAACCGTTTGGAAGTCATGTTGAATCCATTGGACAACTCCTATTCACTGACTTGAGCATCGCTGGCTATTTGTATGCTTGTTTTTTCTCTGTGTTTGTTCGTTGTTCGAGGAAAAGGTTTGGCTTTGGCACCTTGCCCCATCTTTTCAACGGCCTTCCTTCTCAGCGCCACTTTTTGTGGCGCATCGGGCGCACCCTCGGTACTGTGCGAGCCATGGTCAAAGTGTTACCCTAGTGGACATGGGTGACATTATTTAGATTCGTCATGTTTTTGTGGGGAAGTTCAATAAGTCCCCCCCCCCCCCCCCCCCCCCCCACCCCGCCTTCTGAAACCATGTAGGTGGGTACGTGGCTGGACCAAGGGGTTCAGTGCGCCGGCAAGAGATCAGAGTGGTTGCCTTTGACTGCGGTTGCTCCAGGCCAGAAAGTCCTCAACCCAAGGCCAGAAAATTCGTTCGGGCCAGTTGGTACTTAGACAACGTGTGTAGATATTTCTTGTAAGGCAGCGCATGTCCGCGCTGCAGAAACGGAGTTTTGAGCGTGTTGTATTTGTCTTGGTTGCCATTCCTGAATCCCGAGAAAAGGGATGGGCTTTTCAACCATACTCTCTGCGAATGGCCTTCAAATTTGGAACTCTGATGTTACTCAGACCGCGCCGGAAAGAGGGCCTCACCATTTTGTTGCAGGTTTTGAGAAGGCTTTTGCCTTCCTTCCCCCCTTCAAACTTGTCAGAGTCAACCATGCCTTTGGAAAACGGCTATGGCATTGGAGCATATGTGTCCTTGTCTATAAGGATTAGTTTACCAGTGCTGGCCATTTTTTACAAAAGTTCTTCTTTTGTTGCCAGTGAGGCTGCGATTGTTGGTTGCACGCGCTCGCGGAGCCGTGGGAATGTGTCAAGCAAGCATTTGGACACCTCCAAAATGGCGGCAAATTCCTTTTGGCTTCCCTTGAAACCAACCTGGAAAGGGAACCTTCAGCAAAACCACCACCCCTCCCCCACCCTCCCTCCCCTCCCCAACCCCCCCCCCCCCTGCAAACCATCCCCCACCCCAAACCATCCCCCCCCCCCTGCCAGTTTGCTTAAAACATTGGCGATCTGCAGCTCGCGAGCTTCTCACATCTGCCGACTTACACCCTGTCGCCTTCGGACGCCCATCATGCGCTGCCGCCAGGTTTGGTCGACTTGTGATACACGGGTCTATGGACCCCCCCGCCAAAAAAAGAAAAGGACAATGAACGAAGAACAGATTTGGCAGTTTGATTTGGTTTTCCTTTAAAACCACTTAAGAAGGGGTATCCTCCAAAAAAGACACACCCAACCGGCTCTTGCAGCTGTAGAGCAACAAAGAATGACACGAAATCGGAATGCCCCTCTTGGGTGGCTGGACCGGAAACCATTTTTTGGACTGTGGGAGGTAGGGTAGGCAATGGCTTCCCTTGCGAGTCCGTTCTGAATCAATGTGTTGGATTGTCTCCAAGTCCGGGATCTCTCAACAAAGTCACACCTGGAGGGGCGTCTTTTCTGGGAACCTCCTTCTTGGTTGGTTTCAATGAGAAACCACAATTGCGCGTGGGCAAAAAAAGCGGACTTGGCCCCCCCACTCCCTGGTTTTCTTCTTCTCCAGTTTTCATGGCACCAGGTGGTTCCCAAAAAACATCCGGAAACGCAGCAGCGAGGTGAGCCGCCCGCGCCAGGTTGGCTCGCCGCTTCGGTGCTCTGGCGTCCCGTATGGGCCGCGCTCCAGCGGCCCCGGCCGCGCCGGGAGCCAGGCGCCAGGGGGGAGGGGGCGTGGGGACAGTTGGAGGTTTATTTGGGCGTGTCAGTTTTTTGGGGGGGACCCCCACACCCCCCGATTTGGTGGGTTTCCGTTTGGTTTCGCTTTAAAGCCACAAGAACGGGGTACCTTGCAAAAATACTTTTACTTTGGTTGAAAGGGAGACGCACAGGAAGCCGGCCCTGCATGGCCTGCCCATTTGACACATACCCGGAGGAATACTTCGGGTTTGCCTGCTGACCTCTCAAGAAAAGACACCCAGTTGAGATGGTTTGAAAGCGAAGACAAGGATGAATACCGAAGTTTTTTTTTTTTTTTTGGGCGGGGGGGGGGCAATTTTCAGACACAACCATGTTGCAACCATCCTCTTGAGGGCATGTTGTTTTTGTTTGCTCCAACTGTCCATGGCACCCGGGGGGAAGAAAGCTTCACACACGCACGTGTTGCTAGTTGATTCTGCCTATGGGTGCCCCTCAATCGAGCTTCGGCTTCTGCTCCCGGGCCTTACCGCCTGGCTGCCACGCTGCGCGCTGGGGCTCTACCTGCCACAAACTGCGAACATTGGCTCCCATGATTTGCTTGGGGTCCTCTGTCAGGCGGGCTTCGGAACACGGACGGGCTTGAAGAAAGCTTGAAGCAGGCCACGTGTTGCTAGTTGGCTTTTGTTTGAGCATCTCAAGGTCGTTTAGGGTCACGCGAGCGCTTGTGGTGCAGAGGGCAGCCGGGCCCTTAGTGGAACAGCTGACAATATTCTCATGCCCTCAGGTGTCCCAACCGATTTCCATGCATTGCATCTGGGCAAATCAGACTGAGCTCACCGATGCCCGGCCCCCCTTACTTGGGGGTTGCATGTTTCCCATTCATGATAGATAAGCACCTGCTCAGGCTTACGCTCTTTTGTTAACAAACGAGACCAAGCTAAATGTTTCAAGAGATCCCCTAAAAACATCGGAGACACACCCTCCTGATTATCACGCGCGTTCTCTTGTTTCCGTTTTGCGTCTGGGTCTCCTTTGCGTCCTCTTCTCCCGAGAGGTTCTTCTCCGCCTACGAGGGTCAGGAGGTGACCGACGACCAGCTCATCAAGAAGCGCGGTGGCCCAGGGTCCGGTGAGTTTGTTGCCAAGGAGCCTGGTGTGGGTTTTCACGAGCCGGTTCTTGTCTCAATGGCTGAGGCAGCTGCGACCAGAATGGCCGTTTCGAAGGGTGAACTTGTTTTTCTTCTTAGACTCATCACGTGAAGCAGGCGAGTGCCAATTTGCATGACATTCTGATGCTCCGAAAGTTGGTTTGGGTCATCAACCTTAACGGAATCTAGGCAATGGCGTATCAAGGTTCTTATTGGAACGTATTGGAACCGTGATCATGACCCAAGTTTTGGGAAGTTTGGTGGCACACTTGGGTAACTAGGGTCAAGTACCCCTTGGGCTGTTCTGAACCTGAACCCTCCTATCCTGTAGATGAAGGAACACCCATGGCTCAGTTTGAGGCTTCGAAACCCACATGTCTTTCTCGGGCGATTACCACATCTAACCCGCAAAATGGTGCTGGAGGGATCGGGCTCAAACGCAACGAGAAGATGGCAATGTGGTCCACCGAAGAACAAGGAGAATCCAGCCCCCTAAATCTCAAAAACCCGCCACCCGATTTTTGGGACCTGAAAGAAACGGGCGAAAGTGGTGGAGGCTTGAGCCGTGGTGCTAGGACATTCGAGGCTGGAGCAGGTTGAGGAGGGGGCGGTCGCTTCGAATGTCTGAGGAGCGACGACTGGGCCATTGAGGAGACCAACTTCTGCTTGGGCCCGGGGCCGCAGTCCGCAGCATATCTATATATATATATATATGTATATATATATATATCTATATATGTGTTCAGGCTGCACATTTGTTGGCTGGTTGATTGGGAAACCAATAGGAAAACCACCCATTTTTTGGCTCCCCCAATTTTCACTCGTATCCATTTGCAGTTTGTTTCGAAAGTCCCCAACCAGGTCTCTAAAGTCTTGAGACACACAGCCATGTGGCCAAGCAACTGGGAGGGCGAAATCAAAGCTGCGATCGAAGGTCACGTGGGGCCTCGAAACTGTCAGAGGAAGAGCTCAGCTCTGCGCCAATTAGTTTTTGGCTCCATGTCGGATTGCTTGGGCCATGGGTGGTCGGGCCCAGCGAATGGCCTGGCTTGTCCTCGAGGCCACATCCTCGAAGCGATTGGCACCTCCGCTTGTCAACCAGCTGTCAGTCGGGTTTTTGTTCTTTGGGTCGGTTCAAAGGGACACCAGAAGCTAAATCAATAAATCTGGGGATCCCCCTAGTTTGACACATATCCGGATCTCAGGACTCGTTTGTCTGGCACCCCACCCCATTCACCTGCCTCCCAGAAAGCCAGTCGAAGATTCATGAACAGATACAGGACTTTAACAGGTGCGTTGTGCAATTCTAGGACCCCATTTCCCGATGTTTTGAGTTTGTTTGTTTGCATTTTTAGGACCCCGACTTCCGTTTCGTTTCCCGAAGCCCAGTTTTCTAGTTCTTCATTTCCATTCAGACAAAAACAGACAACGTCAATACGACACCAATATTTTTCCCCAAATCCCTAAAAGCGGGGTTTCACCGAGGTGTCAAAAGGTGCCCAGCAAGTCCACAGAATACAACACCCATCCAAGACACCAGCCCAAGCTCTTTGTAAAAGTTCCTGGCTTCAGCTCCATGATACATTTTTGTTTGCCAATTTTCCTGTAAAGGTTCCTGGCTTTTACGGCCACGGCCGCGAGGCCGCATCAGCTTCGTGCGCTTCAAGGAGACCGACGACCTGGCGTTTGGACCCCCAGCGCGGAAGAACGGTGCTCCATGGGTTGGCTCTCCTTCAGTTTGAATGACCCTTTTCTGTTCCACCGAAAAATCACCTGTTCCAGAACCACGAGAAAGGCTGCGGAGCGTGATGTATCCCAAAGGAAAGGCTTAAAGGGGATGCGTGTGATGTTCGATAGGTCTGGACAGAATGCAACGAACTCACCGTTTGGGGGGGGGGAACGAGCTCAGCCGTGAAGGTCCCTTACTCTTAGTAATTTGCCCAGAACAACACGGAAACTACTTGGAACCTTCTTTTGGTTGGATGGGGCAAGAGAAGCCAGAAGAAAACCATTTGCAGATTTGCAACCTGGAACCCGTTTGAGGGCAGGCTTGCAAAATGGGAAGCTCAGGAATCACAATCATTTGGAAGGGTCCCTTTGACTTCTCCAAGTTTCCCTGTGGCCCTACCTGCTCGCACCCGGTGAACTTTTCATTCGCCATTTCGATTCTGAGTAGCGCTGAACGTTTTGGCAGGTTTTCTCAACCAGAGCAAAACAAGCACGAAAGACCAGAGGAGACTCAAAGCACCAACAGAAAAATTCACAGACTCAAGTTTGCATGTTCCAACTGTTGCCCACAAACATGAACCGCCGAGCATGCATGGCAAAAACATATATGTCCACCACAATGCCTAGACTGTGCCGCTTGGGTTGTTGGATGATCAAGGGATCGCAATCCAGCCCTTTTTCACAGGCTCCTCAATTTTCTGAAACCAACACATAGACCAGAATTGCAAGCCTTTTGTTTCCCGTCAGAGCACACACACAAACACACACCCACAGACACAGACACAGACACAGACACAGACACACACAAGCACACGCACACAGACACACACACACACAGACACAGAGACACAGAGACACAGAGAGACAGAGACACACTGACACACCGACACACCGACACACAAACCCACAGACACACAGACACATAGACGCACGGAGACACAGCCACACAGACACACCCACACACACACACACACAGAGAGCCCCCTTGTGGTTGGCTTAGGAAGGGCAAAAAGGAAGCCAGCTCTGTTGGGGTCCCGGAATTTCTTAGCGACCAAGCCTATCCCAAACCAACCTCACGTAGCCTAGGCCTACCCCTAAAATGGGCATGTCCTTTGAGGAACCGTGTTTTTTGGTCGTTTTGAAGGAATACCGGAAAGGACCACCAACGTTTTGTGGGTCCCCCAAAACAGACACACCTGCATAACCTTCAACCGACACCGACCCCTCGGCCCAAGCGCCAAGCGAGAGAGGCGCCGCACGAAGCACCTCATGGACTGCCAGCTGTCCAAGCAGCACACGCGCATGCGCGACGGTGCGACCCGGAAACCCGAAGCAAATGTTCAGCGTTCTTTGTGGCAGGTTACAGACCCTGGTCCTTTTGGGAGGGACAGTTCTTCTTGGGTATGAGGTTGGGTCAAATTTGCTGACAGACCCTGGTCCTTTTGGGAGGGACGTGAACGCACTCGCTGAACTACCCCCAAAATCAGGGAACTCACTGGTTTGTCAGGTCCTCTTGGGGGAACAAGTAGTTTTGACTGTGGCTGATATGCCCTGCCTGGTTCGATATCAGATCACTCGGCCTTAAGGACTCGGCTCAGAGTCGTTTTGGGACTCTTTGAATTGGCCATTTGGCCGCACAGTTCGCTTGTTTGCTCTGTGCAGGTACATGCATTCCTGTCATGGCCTTGTACCTGGATGATATCATCGACAAGCGCGGACCTCAGGAAGGAAATCTACCCTTAGCTTGGGGTCATGGCAACCTTGCTGGTCCGCTACCGACCAATTTCCGGTTGGGGGTTTCAAGTGAATTTGTCGGTTGCTCAGCGATTTGGACGGAATTTCTCGGGGTAGCAACGAATCCCTCCTTTTCCGGGCACACAAACTTTCAACATTGCAATGCGTTGCATAAACAAGCCGAAAAACTTGTTTATTTGTTTAGGGCAAATTTGCTTGGTTTACACTTCTTTCATTTGAAGGCATAGTTTTGCATGCGTTTCGTTATTGGTGGAGAAGGGGGTTCTGGGAAGAAATGATACCTATTGATGAGTATCGAAAGGGAAAGAGCTCTCAGTCAGCTTAGCTACGATGCCGGCTGCAGCTGGAACCGAATTCGGACTCTGTGGCGGCATTGCTTCAACAGTCAGCTTGTCGCAAGCATTGTCTTGATTGCCAATGCACTTTCCATTCTCGATTTGGAAACTGCACCACAGGATTGATTGCATTACGGCTGCTTGCAAGCACCAGAGCCATGATGATGCGACAAGCAGGCAGTCTGGTGTTTTCTTGAGGGGTTTTGACTGGATGCCAATGTATACAAAGGGTCCAGCCAGTTCAGATGCACGCGTGCTTCAGGGTTGGGCGATTCAATCCCACTGGAACCCTCCAAGAGACAAATATGGACGCTAATTTAACCGCCTTTTGGCTCTTTGAAGATCTAATCACGGCATTTGGCTAGCCTGTTCCGCAAGAGGCCGGGCCCTTGCCACATCTTCACGGAGCAGCCCGGGGCCCCAATGAGAGGCGGAGAGCCGCACCTTCTTTCTCGGCCCAGGGCTACCAGTCACTAGAGTGACTATACACATACTACATATGTTTGTTTGAAATGCATAATGTAAGTCCATTTTCTTACCAGTAGATGTCATTAAACACCTCTAGATGTTGAGTGTTCGCCAGCTGAATCTGGTTGGATTCATATGTTGTTCGCCGGCGTCCTTACATTTCCCCTTTGTGGCCCGCTTGATCACCTCTTTTGGTGGACCATTCTGAAATTGCGTCTCCTGTTTGTGATGTTAGGGACACCCTTTTGGCCAGGGCTCAAACATATTTCTCTTGGTGTCCTTGTAGGACTTGTAAATGACACTTGTAAATTATTATGCAGACCCGAACTGACACCACTGCCATCGATGATCAACCAAACTGACCAAAACTGACACCCATGTTTGTGTACCCAAGTATGTGTCAGTGTCAAATTAAAGTTTGTTTCAAGCATCGCCTGCTGGTAGCTTAAGCTATGTGAGCGGCCGCCAGCAAGTGCACAAAACGCATACCCTCTACCATGCAACAACTTGCAAATGATGATCAAAAACCCAGTCTTTCCTTGGCGATATTTGCTGGGGAACCTGGTGTGCCTTTCACGAGGGATGCTACATTTCTGCTCATGTCTCGGAGGGGTGAGCTCCCTGCCATGTGTCACTTGGATGTGAAATCAGCAGACCAAGGGCATCATATGGTTGTTGTTTTTGCCTCCCGGGCAGAAGGTGGTGAAGCAACCAGGCCGTGAGTCCTAGAGGAAATCCCTGAGCACTATGGCCAGGCTTACCAGGCTTGCTCCGAAACTCAAGATGATCACCCGTAGATGCTTGGCCTCAGGGCCTCGGAATATCCAATCCGTTTAGGGGCCCCCTATCCAGGGTGTTGAAAGCAGCGCAGTTGAAGCCTTCCATTTGCTTAATATGTTTTTCCCTTGTTGGTTTTAAAGGAATCTATCACTACTGGAAATATTTTATTTTTTGCAGGGGTCTTAACCAAATCGAAGAAACCGGTACTTGTTTCCACCTCCAGTCACTCCGTTTAGTCTAAGGCCGCTGCTCAAGTGGACCTGGGATGAGACCTATGACGAGGCAATCGGCTGTGATTGAAGGGAAGCCACATGGAAAACGAGTCTTTTCGGGGGTCGGTTTGGATACAAAGCCCGCTATACTTGTTCAGTCATGTTTTTGGGGGTTGGACAGATCGAGGGGTCGAGCTCCAGGACGCCCAAAGAATTAAATGGAGCTTGAGCCATTGACAGGATTGCCAGATGACCTCACTCCCTAATTCCTGGACTTCATACTTTTTGGGAAGATCATGTTAATTAGTGATGAACAACAACGTAGTTTGTGGACATGGGGGGGGCGTCCTAAATTCCAGCGAAAGCAAGAGGACCCACATCAGTTGGCTGGGAGTTACTGTAGAATCCCTGCGCCAAAGTGATGCAGGGGGCCGCCTCAATTTATCATGCCGTTCTGGGGAAGCCAGTAATTTTGTCCGGGGCTCACTTGTCGTGAAAGCGACCTCTTGGTTTCCTCAAAAACGATCGTGCAGGCAGCTCACAGGGTACTGTTGCGGCAGATGCCCAACCGCATGAGCAACCAAGCGCGATGCTGAATTTCTTAAAATGCTTTCGTAGATCCCAGGTTTCTTAAGGGGTCTACCATTGGACATCGCAGAAGCCAAATGTGCCTGATGGTTTTCTATCCTAGGATGCAGTACAAACAACGCCTGGCAGGTCCGACAAGTTTTTGTCAGATCTCGTAGGGTTCAGGATCTACTTTTGGACTTTTGAGGGAAGAACAGAGTTGGGCATTTTGAGGATTAC